TATTCGAGTTGTGTTTTTTAAAATGGTGATATTGTTTACTAAATGGGCTTAGTATTGTGTTTTTGTTTTTATTGACTTTTTTTCATAATTTTTTTCTTTCAATTTGACGGTTGGAGTTTGGACTCATAAAAAATAATTTATTTTCGTGGTTATTAATCGAACCGAACCAAACTGAGATACGAATCGAGCAGAACTGAACCGACTTACGTGGTTATGGTGCGGCTATGGTATGACTAAAAATTTGGTGATGCAGTTATTGTTTTGGCCGAACCGTACCCGAACCGAACCGTTACCGTTACCATTTAGAAAGTGGGGGTAGGGTGGGGGTGGATTGATGTGATATTTCACTTTTTGTACTATTTTTTAATCTAGTCAAATCAACTTTAATTAAGGACATATAAGGTATTTAAATATTTTAGAGGGGCAAAAAAGTTCAAAAGTGACATTCTTGCGAAGATTTTTAAAATATGACATTTTTTTAAAATGCCAATCCAAAAGGTGACATCCGGTGAAATTTCCTCTTCTTAAAAATAAACCCTAAATTATGCCATTCTGACATTGTAAAACACCCCACCCCATAGTAACCGTTCCTCATTTCTACAATCAGTAACCCACACCCACTAGGAGTTATTTCCACTTCTTTTTTTGGTGAATGATTTTTCATTCCATAGTATAAATCGAAATCGACATAAGGCAAGAAGGTTGTACCCCAAAAGCAACCTCGACAAGAAATTGGCTAAGTTTTCTCCTCATTTCTAACACAAGGTATGTTCATCTCCCATGTTCCATTAACTAAAGTTTAGCCATTTAGGGTTTTGGATTTTTTAACATTATTCGAAAACGTTGGATTTTTTTGCCAAAAATGTATATTTTTTTTAGGAAATTGTATTTTCGCCTCTAATAGATGGTGGGCTTGCCTCGAAATTAGAATATACATGTCCACTGTGGTTTATTTTCTCATGAATTGAGTTCTTGTAAGGATTTCATTGGAACTTTATGATGGTATGCTTGGAATGTAGGTGGAATTTGTGGTTTATTAGAATATACATGTTCATCGTAGTTTGTTACACTATAAATGTACATTGTAAGTTTAGCAATGTAGGTTGAATTTGTGGATTGATATATTGTTTTAATTTGTTGCAGTGGGATTCAATTTGTTGATTAATAGCTTATGTAATGTGTTTCATTCTATGGTTGATTCAATTTGTTGCAATGTGATTCATTCTATCGTCATTGTGGATTGAAACATCTTATTCATATTTGCATCTGAAGAGCTATTTTAAAGACAGACGAACCATTTGTCGAGAAAATGTCATTCGAAACATATGGTTACTGAATTTCTCGACATTATATAAAAATGAAGATGTATTTGATTTGCTTCACTATGTGGCGTACGAATTTATTGTATGTTAAATCATCCTCTAAAGTTGGAATTTGATCATGTTAATGGAGTTGCAAATGGATTTCAAACTCCTATGTGTGAAAAGACATTTTATTGTGTAGCACGTTGAACTGTTGAGATATCATTTTTAAGGAATCGTTTGTAAATAAATTAAATGATCAATGATACTACCACTACTGCCATATTAAAATACGATATCAGTTAATGAAATTAACAAGAAAAGTTGATAAATGGAACACAATAATTGCAAACAATCGTGTACCGTAATACATTAAAACAAATTTGAGGTTTAGTCTTTCATCATGACTCTACAATTTCTAACATATTTCTACACTTCACCAAAAAGAACAATTTGCATACAACATTTTAGAGTATCACCATATCCCTTCGTGAATGCCCATTTGTTCAATATCGTAATTGATTCGGAGGATGATGATATGGATCAACTTACTAGTCGGAGAATCCTTTCACCGGATTATTTCTCGTACTTGAACGAGGTTTCCTTTGCATCCGTCCATTACAGAATGAGGAAGTTGATAACATGTTCGTCTACATGCTTCCTTATGAAGACGATTCTAATATTGATTACTACATTCCAAATGTCCCACCATATGATATTATTGTCTTTAGCTTCAACGATGAGACGTAAGATAACGGTAGTGACATGTTAAGCCCTTGTTTGGTGGGAGATTAAAATTAGATTTTTAGTATATTTTGATAGGAGTTGATGAAATGTGTGGTTGAAAAGTTGTGAGATCCATAAAATATGTGGTTAAAATTAATTATTGATTTTGACATAAATTAAAATTTAGATTTTAATCGGTACAAAACATGAGCTAAATATGGATAACACTTGATGTAGACGAAAAATATTTAACGTGATCTGATATGTTCAATTTATGTTATGTTTTTAAATTATGTTGTTTATGTGAACCCGAAAATTGAGTATCCAACTAATTGGCCCAGATTGGTGTAGTTTAGTACACACTGTCGAAAGTCACTAAAAAATTGACATATCAGATCAACTATCTATACTAAACGCTTTGTATTGTTTTTGGAAGACTATGGAATCTCAAATTTGACGCTCATACTTGAAATTAAGCAAGCGAAATAGTAAGCATTCTGTACAAATTTGATATATCGAACTTTAAATGCATAGACGGTCTCACATATGAATAAATTCTACCGAATAGTTGCAAACTCATTAGACGAAAAGTCACAATGTATGATTGAAATTGAATTTTGAAAAAATGATTTTTTATAAAAAATTGGAGTCAATCAAGCTATTATTTTACGGAGTCAGCACTAATACCATTTTTCATAAATGAAATTGTTTATACATTTCACAGACGTGGTTTCAAAAAAAACTAATTACATTTATAAGTTTTAATTAAAACACTCAATGGGCAATTTTTTGCAGATCAAAGCAATAAAAATCAAAAGCCCTAAAAAAACAGAAAATTTGCTCCGCCATTGAGATGTCCAACAGAAACAGATTGATTCTGGTGGTACTTCTCTGGGTTGCGGTTCTATTTGGAACTCTTGCTCTCATTCTGGTAAAATATTCGTTTTAAGTTTTTTATGCGTAATTAGTGGGGTTTATTATCGGACGATTAATTACGTCTGGATTTCAGAATCGGCTAACAGATGCAGGATTTTCATCTGACAAAAAATTGATTTCAGATAGCAAGTTTAATCACGAGGTTTGAATTTTTGAAAAATTATTTTGATCTATAATTTTTTGTTTCCCGTGTAGTCATTTTGTGATATAATTAACTGATGTAGGTGAAAACCTCGAAGGATATAGAAGTGACTCACAAAGTTTACTTTGACATTGAAATTGATGGCAAACCCATTGGTAAGCAATATATGTACACATGTTTTGAGGATTCAAGGGGATAAATTCGAACTTCTTTCAGTTTCATAGTTGATCTGGGCTCTCTTCTGTGAAACAATGTCAATTGATGAGTAGGTTTGTGCATTTCGGTGCACATTATGCCCTAATAGCATAGACATTGGTCGGACACTGTGAACCCGAGCACTGGAAGAAACAGAAACTTCAGCTTGGTTATTTCTGATGTGGTTTTGGTACCCTGAGCCTCAGATCTATGCTAGGGTGCGTTGGAGTTAGACTTGATTTGCACAAGTAGGATATAAATTAACTCACCTAAGGCTATTTGTAAGTAGGCATGTCATAAATTGTTTTGCTCAGCTCAGGGAATTTGAATTAGTCTGTTATAGGAATAGAAAACAATCCCCTCTAGGATCCATGACACTACTAATGTTTAGCTGACTTAAAATGTACAGATCACACATTTATCGTCTCATTTAAGATAATAATATGTACTCAAACATATTCTATTTGCTAGATATACCTGAGTTAAAGTCAAATGATAAATGGCATTTATGCTGCAAGAATAGCATGTAGTCGAAAGTTGAACTTTTCCACAGCATTGTTGAAACACAGGATCCATATCATTTCCCTGATTGCTGATATGTATTGATATGAAGTGGGCAAACGTACTTTTAATAACTTGCTGGTTTATGTGCTTGGATGGATCAAATATTTGTGATTTCTTTTGACGTCATCTTGAATAAAATATAACCAAACAATGTGACTTTTTTAGGGCGTATTGTCATGGGCCTATACGGGAAAACAGTACCAAAGACAGCAGGTACTCTGTTGAGTGAAGAACATAAAATTTCTCAATCTTCTAGTATCCATCATACTTGATCTTACAAAATGAATTTTGGCTTACTATATGTTTCATGCTGCAGAAAATTTTCGGGCTCTTTGCACAGGTAGCCAACGATTGATCTCTTTTATTATTTTTATTTCTGCTAATGACATAACATACAGCCAAGTTAAGATTCTTAAGCAAATTATATGTCTAGGATTCCACAATGAGATTCTGATATAATCCTTACCCCCTTTCCTGATAATTCCCATGGAGGAGCTTGGCTAATGTCTTTTGCTGAAAAGATTCTTTCTTTTTACCTTTTTTCCCATAGAAGTCAGTTTTCCATCCGAACTAGTATTGGTTGGATACCTTAATTCTAAAAATTCTTGTGAGTATATTGTAACTTATGCTACTTTGCACAACATTCCTTTTTAAGGATCTATTTAACAAAAAATGGATTGATTGCTCCAAAGAAATAACAATTAGAAGCTGCTTTTTTCAGCTTATATAGAGATTAACAAAGCCTTCGAAATTTCTCCAAGGCCTCTCCTTTCAAATTGTCTACAGTATGCAATGAGGTGAACTTCCGTTGGTGCTCTACCTGCAGATAGATTCTGCCTTCCCTTTTCAACAGCCCCTCATAGCTTTCTCGGTGACATGGATTCCCATTACATCCGAAATAAGTTTTATAACAGTTTTCACAGATGAACTACCAAACTACATTGCATCACTAAGCCTCCTTTTGGAAAGAATTTATAAATGGATTAATTTATAAAAAGATAGAAATTAGGGGTAGATAAGTGAATAATACTTATGGCTCCATTGGAATGTATTGGTTGAAAATGAAGTTTGATCGGAGGTTAAGTGATGTTCATTATTTCTGCCCTTTCTACTCATTTATCGCCAACTATTGAAAACTTTGCACCTGAGGATCTTATTAGTTTCCTTCACGTTTTCCTTTTTCTAGAGATTCATTTGGATATGAATATGGCCTAAGAGAGAAGTGAACTTTTTTCATGTCCATTTGAACAAATTTCCTTGAGTATGAGATCGGATAGGTTATGTGCAAAAGTAAACTAGCTCTGACCATTTTGCCGTGTGGTTCACGTCACAAAAGATGCGATTTTGACTTTCACATTCCTTTTTTAATGTGTAGTAATTTTACTTATGTCAGGGGAAAAAGGAACTGGAACAAGTGGGAAGCCTCTTCACTATAAAGGGAGCACATTCCACAGGATCATACCAAGCTTTATGATCCAGGGAGGCGACTTTACCCGTGGAGATGGAAGAGGTGGCGAATCAATTTTTGGTGGTAGTTTCCCTGACGAGAACTTCAAACTAAAGCACACCGGTCCTGGTAAGTGCTCTCTCTTTTATGGGAATGAATTGTTTTCTCATTAGCTGATGCACCATTTTGCACTAGTAATTACATTAACAGAAGTTAAAGCCTTGCAAACTATTTTTACGTGATATCGAAACACATTTTTGTTTGGCCACAGGATTTCTCTCGATGGCAAATTCCGGACCAGATACCAATGGTTCTCAATTCTTCATCACAGTGGTGAAAACGAGCTGGTAACTAACTATTTATTCGTCTTCTCAATTTGTGCAGAAAACTCAGCATAGTAGCTATGGAGTTTCAATAATGCAAATATTGGGTTACACAAACATGATCCTGATAAACAATGGATCATGAATGAGATCACAATGTTGAACATATAAATTTTACAAAATGAATGTCAACGGCCTTGTTGCTATCAACCATAGTTTTGAAACCCGGACCGGACCGTCCGGTTCGATTCGGAAACCGGCGAACCGGACCCAAGGCCGGTCCGAGTCTGTATTATTTATTTAAATGCACTCAACCCGCCTCAAACCCGTTGAACCGGCGGTTTTTTAAGTGACCCGGCAGCCCCTTTTTAATTGAATCGCCCGGGTTATATCTTTCACTTTTACTCTGCCCCGCCTTTCAAAGGGTTTCTCAGAATTCACGTTGCCTCTTCTCCCCCGTCTCTCAATCTCTTTCGTCTTTGCAATTCAATCACTCCCAAATATCCAATTTCAAGTGTTAATATATGGAAGAACAGATAAGTCTGATTTTTTTTTTTTTTCGTTTTTTTACCCTTTTCAAAGCTTTTCTTCGACTGATGGAAAATCTGAAATTTCCCCTTTCATTTTGCTTATTTTGGTTGAGAACTTGCTATAATAGACTTCATTTGTTGGGTAATTTGCCTATTCTGAGAACTATGTAATAATCCCTTTTTTTTTTCCAGAATTTAAAGTTATTTTGCTTATTTTGGTTGAGAAGTGAGAGCTGTACGTAATCCCTCCATTTTGTTTGGCCACCGACATTCAGAAATTAGAATATACATGTATTGGAAATTGAAATGACTAAATAAGACTTTTGATTTCTGGAGAAGTCTCCAAGTTGAAGATATTATGTGAAGTATATTTGTTCAGAACTTGTTGATGAAGTTGTAAATGTGTTCACTGATTTCCTTCGGCTTTTCTTGGTTAACTGGGACATTCACTGTTTATACATGCTAGCTTGTTGATGATCGATATGTTTGTATATGCTCTGCATTTATTTTTTCAGTTCACTATTGAACGTTGACGGACAAAGTAATTTTGTATGATTGATTATTGTTTTCAGTTTTTATTGTTTCAAATCCATATTTCACTATATATGATCTAGAATTTGTGGAATTTGGGATACAAGTTGATCTTTAGTTAACAAAATAATATAAGGTTAATTTAGATATTAGTAGAAAATGACAAAATTTGATTATTCAGTGAAAATAATTAATGGTATATTTTACGGGTATTGACCCGCCGGTTGAACCAGCGGGTCAACGGTTGAACCATTGACCCGTTGACCCGCTGTCTCGTCCGGGTTGGTGTCCGGTCCGGGTTTCAAAACTATGCTATCAACTTGAATATTCATCCCCTTAATAATTTCATTTCATTTCTTGCTTAACACATATTTGAATGATTTCTCATCCAATTCATTTTAGTGCATGTAAGCTTCTTGAACACATTCATCAAGATTTTTGTTCATGTAATCAATTTATGTTGTCAAGGTTGGACGGTCATCACGTTGTCTTTGGCAAAGTGCTTTCAGGGATGGATGTTGTGTACAAGATTGAAGCCCAAGGCAGACAAGATGGAATGCCCAAAAGCCGAGTAATCATTTCAGACAGCGGTGAATTGCCAGTATAATCCTCGTGTACGTTTGTACTCTGAACATGATGTAGATATAACATATCCAGATTTTAATTTTATTTTACCCCGAAGTGTTTAAATTAATATCATAGTGCATGCAAATCGGATTGATACTGCATTGTGCATATATCTGTAATACGAGTTTTGCGCATGTAAATCTACTCCTGTTAATGGAAGCGTGCAAGAAAATTTTGTGTCCAATTTACTTATTGTACTGCACCCAAGTCAAATGTTGCCTCTATAACTAATGGTGATCTCCACGCCGTAATATGGATATCTCTACCGATGTCCCGGTCTTTAATGGAATTGATCTTTCTTGGTTCAAAGGTTTCTGGAAGTTTGATACGAATTACATTAAATGAGATCAATTGTCAATTTGTGTAACCGTTTTAGAATCCTTAACACTTTTACCACCTCGTTTTGACAGTAGCATTGCTTAGTTTTTTGGTTTTCCTTCTTTCCAATGGATTCTGATTTTGTGTGATTATTTGTATAATAGTACAATTGTATAACTAATGTAGATTGTTTCTCTTTTTAAGTTCTTATAACCCTATGACTGGCTTGGATTCTATACAATTATTCTCATAACTTAATGACGTAGGGATACAGCAGTGTTGCTCTTTCTCAAACGAGTGACCCACCGCATTTTTGAAGAAAGAGCATGAGGAAGTAGTAGTTGCTTCGATAGTAAGTAGTCTTAGGTATGCTCCGTTGTATCCTCAACTGTACAATTTTTGAAAGATAAATGGAGTTTTATATGGTAAGTAGTCTCTGGTTTTAATTTAATTTTACTCCAAACGGTGTTTAATATTTTACTTGTAGATATGGCATACCCCAGATCTCTTGTCGTTTATGTATGTGGTGCCGTGAGTGATGATGGTGGTTGATGGCGATGATAGTGGTGAGGGGGCTGCAGATTTTGACACGGTTGAAGTGGTGTGAATCGACAGAGGGCCACTAGGGTTTGCCTGCAATGAGATTTGGGTTTTATGTGGACCTGTTGGCGTTTGATTTGGTGTTTGTGGTAGTAGTGAAATTTAGCCCCTGATTGGCTCCCATTAAATTAAATTAAATTATATCACATTAAAATTTTCTCTCTTCATTACAAATACACATTCATCAAATAAAATAATATTACACACAAATCTAAAACTTTTCATTACTTTTCCACCACACATTCTCCCATCAATCATTATTTCAAAAATTTTCAACTATCAAAAATGACAAGTAATGAGGGCCAAACAGGGGCTCAAGTGGGTATTGTGGGGAAAATGTTTCCTCTTTAGTAGAGTTTTTTTTTTCTATAGAATCAAATGGTTCACTTGTGGGGGCCAAACAGGGGCTTAGTATTGGACCAGCGAGATACGAGGTGGTGATAGAAACTGGAGACCGATGAATGCAACACAGACGCTGTGGTGTATGATTTGTACGAAGGCCATGAAATCCGAATCATCGTAGTGCAGAGAGTGGGATAGAGAGAGTTGAATTTGACGGGATTTGTGAAGAAATCTGGATTAGACTGTTAAATTTGTGAGAAATATTATAAAATTGTATATATAGTAACGCGTTTGAGAAAATACTTCTTGTCTATAACCATTTACATAATGAATTATATATTATGATGCGTCCAAATGTAAGCGGGAAAATTATTTAATTGATGAGATTTTTATTCAATTAAAATATCGTCACATCATCTATTGGTAAACCATTATGTAAATGGTTATGTATGTGTAGCAGAACCTCTGTGTGTGTATAACGAGAAAAATACACAAGTACAAATGTTTAAGAATACAATTTCAAAATTAAAAATTTGTAAAAAAAAAAAAAAAAATTCAAAATTAGTCGATCTGTTTTATGATATTTGATTATTTGATAAGTGTTGTAAACTATAATTCAAATTAAACATGTGAGAGTCGCGTACTATACAATTTGTGGATTACAATTACACAATTGCAAATCACCCAATACCACAATTATATACCATACAATTTATGAGTCACGATTACATATTAAGTCACAAATCACACAATTAATATATCATAAACCACGCAATTAACTAATTACAATCACCAACAATTTCAAAACTCCAAAACTTAAAAACATTAAAGGACTTGGAGATGTATAAAGTCGCATATAGTCTCTAAAAGATCCATAATGAAAGGATCGTGTCATATGAACTGGGTTGACGTTCAATTCTTCCTCGATATTCCAAGCCTCTTGCGGAAATCCTCCTCCATGAGGGGAAGGCCTTCACGCAACTTGACCGTTGGTTCCCAACCAAGCAACTCCTTTGCCTTTGTTATGTCAGGTTTTCTCTGGCGAGGATCGTCTGGTGTATTCTCCACAGTTATGATTTTCACATCTGGATTGATAGTCTACAAAGTCCCGGACATCATGTGTTAGTTTCAGAAAGTCATGAAGCGGGTTTGTGTGACCGCCACTACAGAGTTGAAATGGAATCTTTAATGTCATAATGAAGAGCTTAGATAATTGTATCCAAATAAGTCCGAAAAGATTAATGCAATCTAGATTCCCTGTTCCCGCTAGGATATTCCAAGTAAAACCAAAACGTGCACAAGTTTTAGAAGTTACCTCCTTGACAGTCTCCGCAAGCTCAAGCATTGTGAATTCACCTTATAATAAATTCAGGAAATGTGAGAGAGAGAGAGAGATGCAATATGAATTCGAGATTGGCATTTCAGCACCAGAATTCTTTGCCGATAATCAAGTGACAATAATAATTACCTGGATTCCCAATGTTGATTGGCCCAGTGTTATCTCCTTCCATGAGTCCGATAAGACCATCAACCTTCAACATTCCAAAGAAATTAGACAAAGTCCAGGAACGATATTATTATGTGCTTCAAATTGAACAACCAAAATAATAGGATGCTCCAACATACCATATCAGAAACATAGCAAAAGCTTCTTGTTTGTGTTCCAGGCAACTGAACTGTCAAAGGTTCATCACTGCATGGTACAACAATTATTAAATAAGTGAACCCCAAAGTAATTTTCCTATCAAATAGGGAAGCTGAAAATTATGGTATACAAGGTTAGACTCAAAGAGGGGGGGAGTGAGTGATATATATTTGTAGTGAAGTGGCATTAGGAAAATGGTAATCGATAAGGGAATAGCAGCTTCGTAATGGAATAAGTCACTCATGCATTTTGTAACGACATACATGGATTAGCATCATTACATCAGGAAAACATTGGGGTTCCTTGGCTATAAATTTACATTAGAATCTTACCGTATTGCTTGAGCTATGAAATTGCTGACAACCCGGCCATCATCAATATTCATTCGGGGGCCATAGGTGTTAAAGATCCTTGCAATCCGTATTTCTGTCAAGGTCACCATTTCGAATTGGTAATAAATGTTGAAATTAGATTGTGCATATAAAGATAGCTAGTGAATACGAGGATTACATAGCAGGTAAAAAAAGGGACTTATACCAATTCCATGCTGCCTGTGATAATCAAACATCAAAGTCTCAGCTACCCTTTTACCCTCATCATAGCAACTTCTAACTCCTGTAATGGACGTAAAATATAATCAGTATTCAAGCAAAAGAATGCTCTTCACCTGTTGGTTCAAACACCACCAGAAATTTAGAAACATGCTGAAGTATTAAGTGATACTCTCCTCCTGCATATATATATATATATATTCTATCTAATGTTAGAAAGGGTGAAAGAAGAAATCCAATAATATGCAGACATTAAGGAATTAATGCCAAAATAACTTGCAATAAATATGAAACCTGATGCTGGAAAATGATAGACTTCTGCTCAGGTTTCAATTTATAAGAGCACCATGCTTAGGGAACAGGCTTCAAACAATATTCTCCCATTCATTATTTAAAAAATCAGCCCAGGCTTGCACTTTGAGGTGTCATGCAAGGCCTTCATTAAAAGCCTCAGTGTAAGTGCTAAGTAAGGGTTATGCATCATGACAACCAGCGTGCCTTCCTAGTCTTGCCCTTTGTGTGCTTTTATTTGCAACCTCAACTTTTGGGACTGGTTTGGCATAGCCTAGTTTGTTTTTAAGTGTTTTTTGAGTTGTTTAAACAAAGCTTAACCTTAAAAACTAGAAATAGAAGAAAAAATTAGAGAGGACAAAAAGTGAAGCACAGCTTTGACTAGCGCCTTGCTAGTAAAATGCTATAAGTCTCCGAGTGAAGTATTTCTTGGTACACACACAGCGAAAAAAGAAATCTAAGCCACACATAACTTCACTATTTCCTTTCTTTTGTATTTTTCCTGCAGTTTCTACTACCTTATTTTCTTTTTCAAAAGAAGTTAAAGCAAGCAAAATTCTTAAATTGTCGGTCAGTTGTGTAAGTAATTTTAGACTCGGTCTAGTCATGGATTAGGAGCCTTTCTATGCAATACCTACTTTATTATTTCCTATCTCATTATTCTATTCATGTTTCTAGTTGCAAATTAGAGTTTTAACTTTATTGAAATGCTATAATATGGACTTTTAAATGTTATTAAGTTATACATGATAATATGATGTGTCATTTTTCCTAAACTTTTTGAATTATTTTATTGGTTTATGTTGAGGCATACACCTTGAAGCACCTGAAGGCTTACTCACGTCACAGAGGCAAAATGCCTCAATACCAAATTTATCCTTTTCAAACATTGCTCCTGCTCACATGTCACTAGTTAGTATTTAGCTATCACCACAGCAATTTAAATAGTTCTGAAGCATCTCTAAACAGAACTTTTGGCAGATTAACAGATTATCTCTTTGAAACATTAGGTTTCAGGTACTGATAAATGCTATTTTCCCTGCTTGCCTGCTCAATAAGAGCTTCTATCAAGACTGAACATTAAACTATTCTATTACAGGGGAATCAAAATACCTATAGGGTTCACATTGCCCCAATAACTCTCATCCTGAGGATGCACAAGAGGGTCACCATAAACCTCTGATGTTGATGTCAGCAAAATCCTGTACATATAGTAGGAATAGCCGAATCACA